TTTTTTTTTCCCTTTTTTGGCCTTTCTTGGGTTTTTTTTCCTCCCAGACTGCAATGCAGAGATCTAGCCAGCAGGCAATTAAAAGAACATCAGAGTTTAAGACACTTTCCCAGTGTATTGACAGGGACCATCTATCGTGGCTATGACAGCACAAGGAGGTGCTGCAGCTGCCTAATTCAATTCAGTCACCTCAGAGTAGACAATGTCTTCATAGGAGACCAATATACAGGAGATGAAGAGGAGGAAAAGAAAAATTAACTGGGTAAAGTTCAACTAAGGGGGAGAAAATTGATATATTGATATAAATAGCTGAGCCTGGACAGGGAGTAATCATTATTGCTTCGACCAAGGAGAGCTGTTTCTCTATTGAGCTCTGGATCAGGTAGTTGTTCAGCTGATGAAAAATGGAACAATTGTTTGAAACAAGAATCTGCAGCGAGGTAAATAAAATAAGCTTAAGGCAAGCAGTATACAAAACTATGGTATAAAGAGTTTTAAGGGGAAGCCAATATTGTTTATTGCAATAAAATATATTCTGGATGCATTTCAAGCAATCATTTCCCCCAAGTACTGTGAGGAAAGTAGTAAGTCTTCTCATTTGTATGAGAACTAGATTTAAAAAAAAAAGATTTACTTTTTGAAGTACACCTATAGTGTCATGTTTTGTAATTGGATTAAAGGAAATGAGACTGATGGTGCTTCCACATCTCAGGGAGATGAGAAGCAGAGAAGACTGAGTGTGGTACTGGATTCAATAAAAAGAATAAAAACTAATAGCCACAAAAACATCTATGGGAAAATAAGGCATTGATATGCTTATACAGGAGATTTTCCTAAAGCCTCACCATTTCCTACTGAAAATATTCTTATTTTCCCCTTTAAAACCAGTGCTGAAGTTTGCTCAAGTCAATTAAAACACATCCACTTATTGCAGCCAGCTTTAGGATAGCACAAACTCGTTAAGAATACAACATACTTTATCTCATCATTTAAACACACACTCTGTGGGAGTCCTGATGATGCTTAATTATCACTTGTGTATATATATAGAAGAGCACACCTGCTTTTTATTTCTATAAAAAAAAACACAAAATGGCTTTTTTTTTTTTCTACTCATGCAGAATAAGAGTCTCATAAATCTTAAAAAATATGCTAGAAAAAGTCATGGAATAATACAGCAGCTTTGCAATTAGGAATTGTAAAAAAACTCACAAGGTTAGTGTATAAATGCTTCATGAATTGGTATCTCATGATGACCAGAAGACAAGATACTAGGCTGGGTGAGCTATTTTTCCATACACTCTGTCATTCCACATACTGAGATGATAACTGAACATCTCCTGGAGTTACATCAGCACTTCACAGAGTGGGATACAGCTGGGAATAAACATGGATAATAAACCAAATAATAACTGGGTCCTGTTTTCTCTTTTTTCCCCTCAAGATCTTGAGAACTTTGAAACGAAAACAAGAAGCACAGTGTCAGTCAGAGAAGGACAAGGAGTGGTTCTGCTCTGTGGTCCTCCACCACACCACGGAGGTATGAGGAGTAACTATGTTGTGTGCAGCCTGAGCATCAGCTGCTGTAGCTCAGGAGGAGCAGCCTATTGCTGTCCCCTGCCTGACTAGCACCAGAATTTATTTGTGCATGAAATATGTGGGTTTGCAACAAATTTGGAATCCATTTCTTTAAAAGACATTTGAGTTTGCACTTCTTAGGGGGCCCTTATTCTGCAATTACTTGGGGGACTAGAACGTGTCATCACTCTTTGGGTATTATACAAGCAAAGAAAGCATGAAGGTCTAAAAGCTGTCTCCTGACATAAGTGGTTATCTCAGCTCCTTCACCCATAGGGAAGGGCAGAAAAGCAGCCACCAGCAATCCTTTCCATATCAAACCCACTTCAGCTCTGAATGGAAGGACTATTTTGCCTTTTAGCCCTTGCTTCTTCAATGCCATCATTTGAATCTGAATTATTTCTCTTCTGCTCTTTGAATACCTGATTCTCTCCCTCCTGATAATCATAAAAGTCAGAGAAATTTAGCTTGGAAGGGACTTCTGGAGAAGTAAACTCCCTGATCAAAGGACTGATTAGATCAGGTTGACCTGATGATTTTCAGTGCTTCAGGTGAAGAATGAAAAGGAGTTTTCTGAGGAACAGACTTGAGGGTGCATTGCATCTGTTGACATTGCCTATCCCTGCTTCTTAGCTGTAGGGCTTATGCTTGAGGTCTTCCTTTCTGGTTGTGGTAAAGTCCAGGTGATGTGCAATGAAGCAGTAAAGTTTTTAGCATCACTTTTCACCTGAGACAGCCCTAAGTATGGGGTGCAATTTTCCTTTTCCCTTCTTTTCATGGGTGTATTACCACTTCCAACATCAACATTTAGAGTAATACAAAGTCTTGACCCTGTATGTACACTGTTATTTCTTCTTAACACTTTTTGTACCTACCAGAAGTGGAAGTAATTGAGATTTATTCCTCCCCTCCATCCCCTTACATTGACTCTTGCAAGTTTTCAGCCACATATATGAAAAAAACTCCTACAGAGGTATCAAAACTGCTTCAGATCTTCTGAGGTCAGAACTATGACTTCATAACAAATAACTGAGGATGATTGAAAAAGCAAATGTATATTAATACAGAGGAAATAGCTATAGAATGTTCTGGACTGAGAATCAGAAGTTCTTAGATGTCTTATCTCCTGCTTTTGGCAGCAGTAAACACACACATATATAAACAAGACTCCTACAGAGGTATCAAAACCAAGATCAAAATTGCTTCAGATCTTCTGAGGTCAGAACTATGACTTCATAAAAAATAACTGAGGATGACTGAAAAAGCAAATGTATATTAATACAGAGGAAATAGCTATAGCATGTTCTGGACTGAGAATCAGAAGTTCTTAGATGTCTTATCTCCTGCTTTTGGCAGCAGTAAACACAGATTTCTTTGTGCTAGCACCAATCTCCTCCTTCTAGCAATGTCTCCTCAATTCTTCTTAAAGAAACAGAGTTATAAGACAAATTCCCAGGGGAAGGTAAATAGTGATCTATATAGAGGATGAAGTATATCAGAGATGTACACAAACCCATCAATCAATTTAAAACCCTCAAGTCTTGAGGAGAGAGGAAATGTCAGTTCACTTAGTGTTTACAGCCATAGGAGAGAAGTGTGTAATCAAGGAGATGAAGTGAAACCTTGTCCTTAAGGGCAAAAAAAGACTCAGAAGAGTTCCTGAAATGTATCAGTGGGACAGACAGAAAGACAACATATCCATCCTTGAGTCAGCTCTATATTTTCCTCTTGCTGTAGGGTAAAATTACAATTTGACAAATAAAAATGAGTAAAAAAAAAAGCCACATTCTGAACAAATAAATAGTGAACAAGTGAGTTCACTCCAGATTAATTGAGCAGACAAAACTCTCTATGAAGAAAGCCACAGTGTTTTTTTAAGCTGCAGCTGTGAGCTGTTGACCAATAGGCCTAAAAACAAATACATTATGTGAAAGAACAAGTCTCTAGAGAACAGAAACTGAGTTTTTGTCATCCATACACACTATATATATATATTTATGACCCAAAGTTATATGCCATGGGGGTGAAGGACATGGTATGAGCTGGGGTAAGTTGTGTACTATCTCAGGATGCTTAGGAGGTTGTTTTTATTTTAAAAGATTGCATATTTGTTGTTGTTTTTAATTGAAACCCTTGCCTCTGACTCACAATACAAATCTTTGCATACAGCTTCCATTACAAGCATCCTGCACCATCCTTTATGTGTGACAGGAATTAGATATCAAGGAATTTGGAAGATATAGCATAGCAGGCAGGAAAAGAGCTGACTTTCCTATAATGGTAACATGAGTGAGGCAATGGAAGCTGAAAAACACACCCTAGGAAACAAAATTGCTCTTTGGGTTTCCTATCCAGCTCTTTGGGTTTCCTATCCAGCTTAGTAGGTACAACCTACAACCAATCCAGATTTTTTTGCTAGTATGAGCACTTATGGGGAAAGGGAGGTAAATAGCCCAGGTAGAAAACACTGACTGTGCTCTTGGAAAGAAATTATCCATGTCATTGCAAGGACAAACTTCTGTACAGCAGTTGTCTGAAGCAGCTATCATTAAAATAATTATTTTGGAGTAGGATGCTCAAGGAAACCACCTAAAAAGTCTGTATCTGTTTTTTTTCTAGCAATAGAAAAAGAGTCAGAATGGCAAGAATCTAGGAAAGCAAGGAGGTTTTATTAGTTCAAGTTTCTTCCCACATACACCAAGAATTAGGAAAAGGTAGTATGAGAGCTGAAGAAATATTTCTACTGCCTATGGAACGTGGAGAGATGTTTCACTTCTCTTTCCACCCCACCCTACAGAGACAAGACAGTGCCAAGCTAATCTAGCCTTATACCCCAAGAAAGAAAGTAATTTCCCTTAATTTCACAGGAAAGCAAGTTCTGCAGATATTATTAGGCCACTCAGGGGTTTTTCTATTATATGATGTAAGTAGTTTTCCACATTCAAAAATATTTAAAACATTTAAAGCTTCGGTTTAACCCAACTTAGTTTTCTGATGTGGTTGGTAACAGCTGAGTTACTCCTTTTGCATATAGGTTATGGCTATATATAAAATATATATTATATGACTATATATGTCTTACAGACTTCTTAACTGGGACTGCCCTAATAACCTCATTTTATTTATACAAGAGAAAAAAGTAATTTCATTCTAATAGAGGATAGGGAACATATCATGCAACTATGTGATAAATAAGGAAAAAATAAAACACAAAAGGGGTGTACCAAAAACTTCCATAGCCAATTTAGACTTTAAACTAACTCCCAAAGAACAAAAAACTTGCAGAGTTGTGTTAAAACTAGACTAAAAAAACTTAACAGCAAACAAGAGCTTGCTCTCTAGGACTATGAAGAAACATTAACACTTAGAGTGGAGATCAAACACAATAATAATAGGAAAAAAACCTGCCTTTTAAAGGCATTACTTACATCTTGAATCAAGCAATGCACTGAAAAGTTGCTACAGATAATGAATTTAAAAAAAAGGATGGCAAATAATTAGCTTTTGAAACAAAAAGCCAAGCTGCCCTGGGTTACCTCACCCAACCTAAATCCTCCCCATGTCCCCCAGCCCCTCCTTGGCTATTTAAACAGTGGCCACCCTCCAGCCTCACTTGTTATTTATGAGGCTCATTAACACACCTTATAAAGTTCAGTGTGTGGCTCATTAGTGAGGCTCTGGAGTGCCAGGGTGGGATTGGAACCTCTCCTTCTTTCCCTGAGCTGTGTCTCTTCTCCAGCTTGAGTTCTTTAGGTCAGCTGATTTTACCCCTATGTATTAATTTATTACCATATAGATAACAGATCTCATATTTACATCTAATATTTAATATAGCATATAAATAATCCATCTAGCTCCATCATATAAAGCTGGGAGGCAGGGAATAGCACAGAAGAAAGAAGTTTGAAGAAGTCTTTATTTCTGTAGCTGTCTATGAGCTTGACCTGCCTGTTATGAAGAAGCTGCTGCCTAAATGGGAATACTTGACACAAGGCTGCAGAGCAGACTGATGTTCATTTGTTTCCTTAGAAGTGAAGCCTGATCTCAGGGCTTGTTCCCTTCAAGCTGGCTCCCTGCAGAGCTTTAAGGAAGTTGCTAATCTTGTTAGGAGCAGCAGGATCACCCCTGCATTTGCATTTCCTCCTGCAGAAGAGCTGCCAAGGCTTTGAAGCCGGGCTGCTGAGTCTGTAGGCTCTTCTCTCTGCTGAAATCACTGCACCAAGGCTACATTAAAAACACAACCCACTCTTGGGGAAGGAGCCAGATCCTCAGCAGAGGGGTGGAGGAAGGTGAACGTGCCCACCCAGCAGAAGGGTGGGAAGGGATTCGCATGGGAAGCAAGCAGGGAGAGACAGCAACCTGGGTGTGGGGAGAGGAAGGGCTGAGGCAAGCAGTGCTGCCTTTTATGTAAAAAAGTCTTTGGCTTCTGCCTGGGGTTGTTTCTGCATTTCACATGAAGCAGTCAACTCGATAAAAATGCAGAAACCTGAAGGTTTGAAGAGTGTCTCCCTTTATAAAGCTGAGTGTCTCAGTCCTGGGTTTAGAGTCTCTCTGCTCCTGTTTCTCAATGCTCCTATGAATGTTTAATCCATTCCTGGCAGCTCTGGCAGGAGGGGGAGAGTCTCCTCCCTGAGACCAGCCTGTAGCAGTTCTGCAGGACGAGCAGTATTGATTTGAATTTGCTGGGGCTGAGGAGAGCACTGAGCTCTTATATTCCCTAGACCAGTCTATCAGGAGTGATGATCAGCTGCTCTTCTTCCTTAGCTGTGCCCTGGAACCAAGTGCTCCTGGCTGATGGGTTTGGGCAATCCTCTCCTGCCTGGCCAAGCTCAGGACTCACCCACCAGGCAGTGCCTGGCTGGAGGTGAGGTGGAGTCAACCTCCTTTTGGAGCCTCCTGGGATGAGAAGGGAGATGGACACCATGTAGTCACCTGCCTTGGGTTAAACCAACCCAAACCCACGCCAGGACTGCAGCACTGATAAAACAGCTCGTGCTCCAGTACACAGCAAGGTCTGTGTTGGATCCTTCCACTGAAATGCAGCAAAGGCAGCTCTGTGCTCTCCAAGAGACCTTCTCCCAGAGGCAGCAAGAGCTTTGGGATCTCTGCCTTCTGAGAGCAGCTATCTTCCAGTCCTCAGTGCCCAAATTCAGTGCTAATTGGTGCTGGGACCAACCAGCTAGACGTGTGAGCAGGAGCAGTGCTGTACCAGTTGTTGTGCCATAGCGGGATGGAATGAAAACAATATTAATTACCTGAAAGTGATTAGTGTTTTCAAAGCTTGTCTCAGAAAACACCTTGACACATAGGTGTTAAATTAAAAAAAAATGAGGGTAGAAATTACATGAATAATATTTTGTTATAAGTTTTTTGGGAACTAATCCTGGAACTTTTATAGCACTCTGAATTTTGTTTGTGGTTCAGATATCAGGGATTCTCCCTGGCTCTAAAGCTCCATCAGGTTAGCAGAATTATTTTGTCACCTAAGGATAAATCATAATTTCTCTTTATCTTTCCTTGAAACAACTCAACTTTTACTTTTTTTACTTTCAAAAGCTTGTGGAAAAAAAAAAAGCAACAAAATAAACACAAGACCACAATCTGGGGCCAAATTCTGCTTCTTTAGGGAAGGTTCCAGGCCTATGCACAAAGGGAAAAATGAAATAGAGGAAAAAAGCCCACAAAAAAATCTTTGGTGTTGCTAATGGCTATGACTCATGTGAGACCTTTTATACTGAAGCCCTTTCATAGCAGTCTCTGAAATTCAATAATTCCAAGACTGTCCTGGGTATGTTGAAGTGTGATCCCAACCAACGTTCCAAAAATCCTGTGTTTAAATGGAAAACAACAAAAAAAGTAAGCAAAAAGCAGTTGTTACTTTATTTTTTCTCCCCTAAAATAGCTGGCAGCAGCAATTTTCAAGTTCATTTAAGTTCCAATTCATTAGTAGGTTATTTTTTGTACTTTCCTTTCTATGTTTCCATGACCTCCCATTCAGCATCACCCTCACCAGCCTCTTCCCAGCTACTGATTTACTCATGGGAATGAATGTAACCCTAAAAGGGATGGAATGGGCTTTTGGCTCATTCAGTGGGCCTGCTAGACACCTGATTTAATCAAAGTGACCCAAAATTAAAATGTTTAAATAATAATAGCTTCTTTTATAACGCAACATTGGATTTTCTAGCCTATAACATCTGTGGATGTTGTCACTTAACTTTCTAAGAAAAGATGTTGTGCAAGGGAGTAGACTGATGGCATTATACCTTAGAAGAGAGAAAAAAAAGTTTTGTCCCCCAAGTTTGGTTCCTTTCTCTTGAGATTTCTTTGAAGTCCCATTGAAATCAATTAAAAAGAGGATTTTTACAGAGTTTAGTGGAGCTGAATTAGGCTCTAGGCAAGTGTGGCCTGAGGAGTGGTGATGATGAACCTGCAGTTAGAAGAGTGGTAGCGTTTATTTCCCTTATATTGGGGGGGAAAGGATTCAAACACACAAAAAAAGAGGGGCCTGCACTTAGTTAATGGGAAAATTCATCAAAAGGCCCTAAGGCAATGGTGGAGTACAGAGAGGGAGAGAGCAACAGAAACTTTGGTAGATGAAGTCAATTGGAACCCTCTGAGACATGAAATCAGGACAGACAAGGACTAACTTTCTTTTACAGATTAATTAATTCACAGATTGACCTCAGGAAGAATATCTGTGTAGCACAAAGTTGGTTTTAATAGAATTTTATTAGGATTTGTATACTCTGTCCTGCACAGAATTGAGCTGCATCACCAGGTCCTACAGCAGGAACGTGGTTTTTGATTGCATGGTTTAAAAGTCCTTCATGGGCACCTGTTTGGTCTTAAGCTGGTAGGACAGTACCATGTTAGAGTGGGTCAGTGCATCCTTCAGCCCTGGCATTGCCAGCAACAGAACTGGACCTGGGCAAGGGAACCTCCAAACTCCTCTTTCTTATCATCTCACCTTCAAAATTACCTCCAGTTCCTCATTGGAGACACTATCCAGTCATGGAAGTCTGGGCACCCAGATGCCAAGTTTTCATTAAACTTCAACCTCTCATCACCCAGATGTCAGGTTTTCATTAAACTTCAACCTCTCTTCAATTAAATAGGATTTATCCCACCAGTCTTCAGCATTTTCTTTACAGTCCCTAACATGCAGGTTGGAGAACTTGGAAAAAGTGAGTTGAAACCAGAGTTTTGTCTACACTAGTCACTTCAATCTGTTTATCCAGCCAGATTGTAGTCATCAAACTTCTTGCCAGAACATAGTCTCTGTGCAGTATGTCTCTGGAAGACCTATCAGGTCATGGTTATATCATTTATATCTAGCTACAGACTGATCCTCCCTGTGGGGAGACCCACCCAAGTCCAGATTTTCTTCTGTAAAGAAATGTTTTCATCAGGTACCTAAAAGTCTATGGGTACACAAATGGAAACCCATGGTGCTTTTCTTCTGATGTGTATGCACACGTATATACAACACACACACGTGCTGGATGACACTATTTTAGGAGCTCTTGCAACTTCTGGGCTTACTGTACCTCAGAAAAAAATAAGTTGAGCATTAAGCTGTAGCAAAACAGAACCTATTGCAGGATTTAGCCAACTGTAGGAATTGGCATTGATTGCTCCCTGGAGATGCATCATTTCTAATGAGAGTCCTAAAATGTTAGAAGATGATAACATAAAACTCCACAAAACTACTGGAGTTTGCAGACTTATTATCATCCCCTACCCATGGTGTAATGAGGAGGGTGGGGGGTGGGGGGAAAGGAATGTAAATAATCTTTTTCAAATGGGATTGTTGATGGGAGAAATGTGTAAAAATGAAGCTGTTGGCAGAACACTGTTAGCTTATGAATTATACATTTAATTAAGGAAAGCTAAACGGGTGGGTTTCGAAACTTCTGATTTACTGTGACTTATCAGAGCTGGAATTTCAGCCCTGCTCTGGGGGCTGGTGGTGCCCTGGAGCAGCCACAGCATGGGGCTGGCAGCAGGCTGGGCTGGGAGCACTGGACCCCCTCTCTGGGGCAGGGATGAGTGTGTGACAAAGCTTGGCTAAAAAACCCTTCTGAGAAAGAAGGATGTGGGATGGTAAGCTGGCATGGAGATCTGCCCTTCCAGGGTGGGCTGGCCAAAGAAAATAGTTTTAAATTGCTTAGATGATAGATATACATTATTAAGGTATGTATTGTGAAAGGAAACAAAGAAAAAATGACAGCAGTGGGTTAAGAAGTTAGGACAGGGGCCACAAATCAGATGGAAGATGAGGAGAAGGAGCAGATGTTAAACCAGCTCCAAAATATTTGCGTGCAGCTGAGCTCCCCCCTTCTTAAAAATCTGAGGATACAGGTCTGTGTTACCTGTTTCTTTTGTTTCCATATTCAGAGGGAAGAAAAGAGCTGTGACACTGTGACCAGCAATTGGCTTTCTGGCTGTTCAGAGGGAAAGCATTATAATAGAGATTATTTACTAACCCAGCTTTCTCGTGGCATTGCAGCACTGCCATTCCCACTTAAAAAAAAAGAGGCTGAGCAGGAAAATGAGAACCAGCAGGGGACAAAAACTTTTGTGACCTTCTGAAGTGGCTTGAAATGAGTTTAAACCTGAAGCAATGCTTACCTTGCCGTGGCTAATTTGTGCATCCCCAGTGGTTTACCCTGGAACTGGCTGGCTCTTTCAGCTAGTAATATTGCACTTAAGGACTAATGGGAAGTGGATTACACTGGAAAGGATGGATGATATGTACCTGATGTTTTCTAGGCTTGTCCTACACGTGGGTCTTCAACAATAACACCTTTGTGGAGGGAGATGGTCGGCGCTTTGTTTCCCAAGCAACAGGCAACCTGTACATTGCCAAAGTGGAGCCTTCAGACGTGGGCAACTACACCTGTGTGGTCACCAACACCCAAGCAGAGCAAAGGGTCCAAGGGCCACCCACTCCTCTCACTCTCCGCAGAGATGGTGAGTTCTCTGGGCATCCCTGAAAACAGCAAAACCCCACCCAGGCCATCTCCAGCTCCTGGAAAGTGATACCTCGTGGAGGTATCATGTAAAAGACTCCCAGGAAAAGGTGCAGTGGGACCTGATCCCACAGTTTCTACTGGATTGAAATGAGATTTTCAACTGTCAGGATGAGGATGATGAGTTATATGCCAAGAAAGTGGTGCTCAATATCGTGGAAAAATAGCATGAGGATGTCAAATGGTATGTTAATATTTTTCATCTTAGGGATGCCTGTTGAGTCTTAAATCTGGCAAGGCTTACTAAATTTATAATCTAGATATAACTCAACTAACAAATCTAGAAAGCTGTTTCCAAGTGAGTCACTGAGGTGAGAAGCTCACCCACACATATACAAATGCCTTGCTGGCAACACTTCCAATTCAATGTTCACAGGGAGGAATATATACCTGGGAAATCTTGACATGAAGTTTGGTTTGTAAGTTTGCTCACCTAAACTTCAATACCCTTGTCCTGTTTGCAAAGCAGGGGTGGCAATCAGTAACCAAAGTCTGTAGAGAGAGTCATGTTTCCAGGGTAAATAAAACTCCACTGTGCATTATGGAATGATTCTTCCACGAAGAGACTGTGCTGCTCTTTAACATATTCAACAAACAAAGCGAATTTATACGGCCACAGCTGAGAAGTTAATAATTTGGTACAATCTATGAGTATAAATATTTAAAATCTTTTCTATTTGCTTCCTTTTCCTCACCCTGCTTTATTCTTTTTTATTTTTTCTGACTTGTTTTCTCAGTCTATCTCCTCCCATTAGTTTTCACCTCTGGATTGAGTCCTAAAAACAGGCACCCTCTAAGGCAACGGTGCAAATTCTACGTGTAATATTAGCCAGGTGCCTCTTAAATATAAAAGAGAAATCAATAATTTTTCAGTCTAGGATCTGCCCTGAACTGATAACGGATTATTTGTGGTCTATCGGATGCTCAGCCAGATTTTCCAATGTGATCATTACATCTAACACATCAGCTTTTCTTAAGCCTGGAGCTTGGATGTTTTAAAAGGGTTTTAAGTGCTTTACAAGTCCTATAGACACAGAAAATTCCATAATTCTCCCTTGCACCCACAGTCTATTCAGTGACCTGAGAAATGGCCACTCAGTGAAGCGACCAATGTTAAAGGCCTTGCTTGCTACCACCTCTTAGCAAGAGATGCAAACCCTAAATTGTCTCTAAAACCTGAAAGCACCAATGTGACAGACGTGTAGAACTTGTATAAACTCCTGCTCTTCAACTCCCAAGCACACAGTGCTGGAGATTCCACCCAAGCTTTCAGCATTGGGCTTGAGCTCCGTGGACAACACGTGTTGATCACCACGGGTGGGACGTAAGGCTCTACTTTTCTTAATTCCAGCCTTCCTTTTACACTGAAATTCTGTTGTAGTAGGCAGGTCTGAGGCTCCACTGGAGTGTTAGCTGTTTTGATGTTCAACAGGTGTGATGGGGGAGTATGAACCAAAGATTGAAGTACGTTTTCCAGAAACAACATATGCAGCGAAGGGCTCGTCTGTTCAGCTGGAATGCTTTGCCCTTGGAAAGTAAGATCTTTTTTTTTGGCTTTTTACTAAAATGTGGGTTCTAACACTCTTCTACGCTGAGCAACCACGGTTCTAATGTGCACAGTAGAATTTCCAGTATCTTAAGGGGGCCTACAAGAAAGTTGGGGAGGGACATTTTAGGATATCGAGTAACAACAGGACTAGGGGGAATGGGGCAAAGCTGGCAGTGGGCAGATTCAGGCTGGATGTGAGGAAGAAGTTCTTCCCCAGGAGAGTGGTGAGACCCTGGCATGGGTTGCCCAGGGAGGTGGTTGAGGCCCCATCCCTGGGGGTCTTCAAGGCCAGGCTGGAGGAGGCTCTGGGCAGCCTGATCTAGTGGGAGGTGTCCCTGCTCATGGCAGAGGGGTTGGAACTGGGGGATCCTTGTGGTCCCTTCCAGCCCTGACAGATTCTGATCTGTTTTAGCAGAGGACTTTAGAGCCCTAATGGCTCAATGGTTGGACTTGATGATCTTGGAGGTCCCTTCCAACCTAAAGGATTCTATGATTCTAAGTGCAGCTCACCTGGTTGCAGCTGGAAACAACAGAGTGGGAGGAAGAAAGGGAGGGAATAGAAAACCAGAATGAGGACTATAGTCCTTGAGAGCACTTTTATCTCTGAGATGAGCCCTAACTTCAGCTCACAGCATTCCACCTAGCTGCACGTTGGCATCCGACCTGCATCAAGGCAGGAATGTTTTTCTGTGTGAGGTTGAGAATGAAATTTGGGGAAACAGGCTGTGTTTGGAGAGCACAGAGACTGTCTAGAAAGGAGCTAACAGATTCACGTGGCTCTCAGCACAGTCTTCTCCAATAAATCCACACATCTATTAAGCTTCTGATAGGGAGCCTGTATTTTTCCTGGGTTGCTTAGAGTGTTGTATTCATTTCCAGAAGCAGTAGTGCATTCAAACAGCAAGGGGTGCTCTGTATTCAAAGAGCAGATGGTTAACTAAGTGTAACCAGCCTACAAAAACTAGTCTTTCCAATGAGCATCTGTTTTCCCTGGAAAAGCTAAAATAACCTTAGATTGCTGACCTCTATTTAGTTTAAGTTTGCTTTGACAATCCGTTTTAAAGCTGTAAGCTTTTAAAGTGTTTAGAGCTTTCCCAGAGGTTAAAAGCCTGACTTGCAGACAGCACAAATTAATCAAATGTTCCTCTGGAACCTATGCTGGGAGGTAGAAAAATAAAGCAAATACAAAGTTAATAAGAGGGGAAATGGCTTTCCCTTTCAGATGAGGTTTTTATATAAACTAATCTCAGGGCTAATTTTTATTTAAGGCTGAAGAATATTTCTACAGAGCCATATTCAAAGGCATATGCATTTTGTTGGCCCAAAACAAGTACCAGACTGGAACACTCCTAAAGCTGCATTTCCTTTCCAAATACTGTCAAGCTACTTCTCTTTAAATACCTCCTTAATTGTGTGTGAGTCAGTGCAGGCTTTACATTTCAAGTTGTCATTTCATATTTCCATCTGTTACATGGAAAGCATTTAACAATGATACGTTGACTGCAGAAAAACATTTCAAAGCCAAATTAAATGATGGGGACAAAGCAGTGTTGTCTTACTGAAGGGGGAAAGATGGGTCATGTTCATGTGGCACGCAGGTTTTAGCATTTTAAGAACATCTGAAGGAGGAAAAGATGGACTGGGAGGGTGATATAGAGAATGAAATTCATCAGTGAGCACAGCACCTTCCAGGTTGTGCTTAGGAAATGGAATGGCTGAGAGGGTTAATGCAGCTTTAAAATACATTTTCTTCACATATAGAGGACTGCAGGGGAACCCAGTGCTGCCATACATCCCTGGAGGAGTTCTGCTGCTTAAATACCAAGGAGCCAAGGGCAGAAATCCATTCTTCACTTTTTTTTTTATATAATATACTGCTAACATTTATCTAGTCTAATGGATGTGTTTGAGAGAGGCTGTTTGTGAGTAAAGGCTCTTCAGATTTATTTTTTTTATACATAAATATATGTATACACACAATTCTCACTCAGAATTGTGCTGTTTTCCATCTGTTTTTCCCTTTCTGAACAGAACCCTGAACCACACTCTCCCTAACGTGTCCATCAGTGGAAAAAGCTTTAGCTCAGAGCTGGCACTTAGATGTGAATAAAGCAAGAGAAACAGATTGCAAGTGAAATACTCTTAACTTATTAGATAAGGCCAGATTTCTAAAGGTATGTAGGTGATTAGTGGTATTGTTAAAAGCTTGAAGTTTCCTACCTCCAGCTGCTTACAATTGTAGCTAGGCACATATAAATGCAGCAGTGTGGCCATCTGCACCTTTAGATGCTTAAATTCCACTAAAACTCTAGCCCCTACTATTGTCTGTTTGTGTTAAAATCAATTCAGCTCAACATTTGTTGAGCTATACCTCTGATCTGCCACAAGCACTAACGGTTATTATCTCTCTTGGATTTCAGAACTGCTTTCCCATTATCCATAATTTTCTATATTCATACTGTTAGTCCACTGGTTCAGACAATGCTGTCAGCTGCTACTACCTCTGTGCTATGAATAACAGAAATCTTTCACATCTAAGGCAGATTATAGGCAACCTGCTGTGGTTTTGGTCTCCAAAAAGTCTTAAATGAAAGTACTTTCATGGTATTTAGAGAAATAGCATCTCGTTTTCTATATAGAGCAGCAAATCACACCTATTGGACCTTGCTCAAAAAGCACTTCCACGTTTAAAAGACAAGTAGAAGAGGCCAGACTTATGGCTGGGTTTTATGATGCCTTTTTTTGACCTGGGGGAACTCAAAGCCATCTAAAAAGTCCTCCTTCAGCCAGGCTGTGGGGCACCAAGAGGGGGGAATATTCCACCCAGCTCTGTTGCAAAGCTCTGTTTTTCCATTTTGCATGAAAATACCTTGACTGACTCTCACAAAGGTTCTTCTAGCCCAGTCACAAAGTCTTGATTCTTTAGAGGAAAGTAAATATAAGGGGGCCAAAGAGTCTGTATTTATTCCTGTGAAGAGGGTTTGGAGGGATGGGTCCCAAATGGAGAAATGTGCCTTGAGCCAGCTCTTGACTCTGAGTCCTATTTTGTAGACCACAAATAGTAGAAAAAAAACCCCCAAATTTGAAAAGTAAATGAGTCCTGGATGGAATGATGGAAATGTAATTTCCATGGAAATACAACTGGGCAAAAAGGAACATAAGTAGCATGCAACAATAATGGTTGGCACAGGGAATCTAAGAAGGCAAAAACAAATGTACTTTATATTTAATTCTTTACAAGCAGGAAATCTGAAATATAAAATAGTAGCTTTACTATTTCAAATGCTTCAGCCTGTAGTGATTTAACAGAAGATTATGAGGCTTGGTGTTCAGCACTGATATTCATTGGGCTGACAGTGTTTAATAGCATGCCAGTATTAAAAGTTACATTTTGGATCAAGCTTTATTAATCATCCCACACATCTAAATTATTGCTCACCATGTCTTTGAGGGGTTTGGGTCCTGTGGAAAGAGTCACGTTGTGTTACTGTGCTTCTTCCTCTAGATTTCTTCCAAAATACATATATTCTTTTCCTGTTGCACAAATAGGAACAGTTTCTGGAATGAAAACAAGCCAAGTCGTTTCCCTGTCTGGTGCCCACATTTGTTAAACTGTGTCTACATTTTTCTTCATTCTCTTCTCAAAGATAGGGAAATAATCTGTTCAGCAGCCCTGCAGATGGGCCGTTGCCAGCTGAGGTTGTAAAGAGCATATGTGAATAATATGAAACAGGATTTTTTTTCTTTTTAACCCAGAATATTCATTTTTCATGGGAAAGACCTCACGTCTTCCTGTGAATATATTCAGGGAAGGGTTTTTCTAGAGGCTGTCAGTGTAAGGAGATAATCACCCAGCTATAAAGGGGTCCCAAATAACCATCTTTACTAAATTTATATAAAAATACCAGGCTTCACTTCATTACTTTGCTATCCTAGTATGTTACTATAAAGGGGTCCCAAATAACCATTTTTACTAAACTTATATAAAAATACCAGGCTTCACTCCTTCATTACTTTGCTATCCTAGTATGTTCTCCAGGAGTTTATGTAGGAGGCTATAAAAAGATCAATTATATTAAATTAAATTATATATGAGTGACTTCTGCCACCACAAGTGAAGTTTGCTGTTTTCAGCCCATGTTCATAAAGTTCTATCAACTAATACCTTGAGATTTGTCCTTGAAGGACTGAGCAAACAGCTCTGGAAGATCTTTCCTACAGCAGTTGGGTGGCTTGTGACCACAGGAGAATGAGGCACAATACCAGATTTGAGAGAACTTTGCTGCTTTGCTGTTTCCTGAGTAATTCATCAGGAGGATTAGGAGCTTGAGTGCTTCAATTATGCTGCTCCTCAGATCCAAATTCCTCCTTGTGTCTGCAGTTGATAGCAGCTTTTCATAGAACCATAGAATGTCTGGGCTGGAAGGGACCTCCAAGGGTCATCTAGTCCAAACCCTGCTTGTGGCAGGGGCATCTCCAACTAGATCAAGCTGCTCAGAGCTTCATCCAGCCTGATCTTGGATCTCCACAGGGATGGGGCCTCCACCATCTGTCTGGACAACCTATTCCAGGGATATTTTGAACCTCAGCTTTGTCTCATTTGTTTAACTGGGCATGGTCTTCATGACTGAAGCTGTAGATTCAGTTTTATAGCACGGGGCAAAAGATGAGGCACAGATATAATGCATCATCTGACTCCTGAGTTTCTCCTGCAAAAAAAGAGGTGGAACTTTCATCTTGGTGTGGGCTGTAACGCTGCAGACAAATTAATTTCATGTTCAGTGTGACAAGACTTGTCACCAGCCACAAAATATTTTGCATCATCTTTTCTTTCTGAGTTAATAACTTATGCTTTTGTGATTCTTCCACCTGTACGGTGGAATATAAATTAAATTAGTACTCCTAGATGTTCTGAAGGTTGCAAATAAACTGCAGATTTATGTACAAAGACATTCTCATATTTATGCTCTCTTTTCTTATTTACTCAGGTGAAAGCAAGACTTTGTCCATGAAATGTAATAAATTTTAAAAGGATGCTCATTGTTTCTTTAGAGAGTCCAAAACTTTTCATCCCCAAGCAGTTACCTGTTTTAATCTGGTTATTGGTAGTGACTGAATGAAAAATGACCCACCCAGTTGTAGAACCACCCCAAATCTGCATGGGAAGATTCTGGGCTGTGTAGCAGTGTCAGATACTGGCCATTTTTATGTTTATTTTATAAAAATTCACAAGGCTGTATTTGTTAAGCCAGGTTTTATATACATTTTCTACACTTAAAACTCAATAAATACTTCTATACTTCCTAAAGCATCAACTCATCAAATAGATAATTTGTTGCAAAAAAGCAATTTCACTAAAGTAAACATAAAGTTAAAGTTTAATGAAATTGCTTTTTTGCAACAAATTATCCATTTAAGTTTAGGTTGGGGTTTTTCTTTACCTTGACAAGTTTCATAGGCCTGTGGTAATAATAATAATAATAACAGGCTCAAGTTGCACCAGGGGAGGTTTAGATTGGATATTAGGAAGAATTTATTTACTAACAGAGTGGTCAGGCACTGGAACAGGCTGCCCAGGGAGGTGGTGGAGTCACCAGCCCTGGAGGGGCTCAAAAACCATGTAGATGTGGCACTTGGGGACATGCTTTAGTGATCATGGTGGTGTTGGGTGATGGTTGGACTTGATGACCTTAGAGGACTTTTCCAACCTCAATGATTCTATGATGAGTTGCTGTTGAGAGATTTGGTTATACAAGTATAAACTAACATCAAAAGAAGGTGGAACCAGTGAAAAAAAACCTGTCTTCTGTGAAGTATGGTGATTGAAGATGCTGGAAAGCCTGTGACAATGAGGTGTCACCAAAGTCAATGAAGAAATGCAGATCTTTTCAAGCTGCTGTCATAACCTAGGTCCTTCTGGTTGGTGGCATGTAGTTGAGCAATGGATGCTCCTGTAGTCTGATCATTTAACCTGTCCCTCAGGCTGATGAGGAGCTGCTGTCCTGCCAAGTGAATTCCCTTTGCTGATAGAACCAGGCCACTTGGTGCAAGACTCCCTGGCAGGAGAACTAAGTGCTGTTAACTATTTATTGCAATTAGGCATCTGAACAGAGCCAAGCTGATGAACCAAACTCTGGGGCTTTCCTGTCATCCTGCTGTGGTTGACATCAGAGGGAGTGCATTTCAAACACCTCTGTGTTTGGCCAAAAAAATGAAGCAAGGTTGCTGCAAAGCATCCCCAAGGATGTCATTAGAAGGATGAGGAAAACAGGACAGCGTCTTCAGCTCAAACCTGGGTAAACTTGACTTGACAAGTTGACAGAAGGAGCCTTTTCCCACAGAGCCCTGCCTCTGGCCTTGGTGTCAATGCAGACTTGCCTCATTCATTGAATAGTCAGCACTAAGAGAAAACAAATGACTAATAGACTAGGAAATATTTAGATGAAACACTTTCAGGTCGTGAAGCAGGAATGAAAGCATCTAATTGTTGTTTTCCTTCCCCCATAGGGCTGTTATTTTCCTTTTGCCATGAAAAAATCCAGGAGAGATGCCTTTAAAGTCAGTAGTTAAATGCTTCTGACATTCAATGCACTGCATGCTTCTGGGATACAGTAGCTGTTCACCCACTGTTTAACATGCACAGCATTTTAAAAGCCAGCCCTGCTCTCCTTTGTGTCCTCAACAGTCTCTATCAACCCACTGCAAGACTGCAAAATACCTCTGGCTTTTTTCCTGGCTGGAGCACAGCAATTGTGGGACAGACCTGTTCTGTGCTGCATTTCTTTTAAATAGCTAAAAGTAACTGGATTGGGAGAAATTCTGCCTGAATAATGTCATGCAAGATTTGTGGAGGGGACAACAGCTTTTAGCAGACTGACCAATGCATTGGAGAAAAACACACAAGCCTTTTAAAAGTTCCTAGTAAGGTGTAATCTTAAACAAGTTTGTATCTGAAATAGATTTTGGTCTCATAATAAAGGGCAATTAATAAAGGTGGTGGTGAAAACTACAGCTGTCCAAAAAGATTTGGAGTTTTGATGACTATAGGGGTATTGAACCAAGACTGGAAACAGGAGAATAAAATCTCAGTTGGTCTTTCCTGCTCTTTCACTGGTTAGCAATGTCTGGAATGTCCCAGTGTCTCTGATTTTGTGTTTTAGAGAGCAAGGGGAAGGGCAGCTTGGATGCTTTCTTGCCCAGCTGAACTCCCAGCAGCACGAGGAAAACATTTCCAGACTTCCAGTGTGCTCATCCTGGCTTTCAAGCTTAAATGCAGAACTAAGCACATTTATGGGATTGTTACTCATTGTTTGAGTGGTCTAGCTGTAAATTGTCCTGTACATAGCTTATTTCTGTTGATTTTATAGAATCAGAGAATGTTTTTGGGTTGAAAGAGACCCTTAAAGCTCATCCAGTCCAACCCCCCTGCAGGGAGCAGGGACATCCCCAACTAGAGCAGGTTGCTCAGAGCCTCATCCAACCTGGTCTTGAATATCTCCAGGCATCACCCACCTCTCTGGCAACCTGGGCCAGGGTCTCACTACCCACAGAGTAAAATATTTCTTCCTTATTTTATGTCTGTAGTGACTCTGTTAACACCCATCCAGCTGTTCAGTCCATGCACTTCCAGCACTTGCCCATCTCCTGAGTCCTGGCTCTTCAGGTGAACTTGTGAACATCACAACCACAGGGACTCAAAATATTAGACCTAAACATACCTTTATTAAGTAATTTGTTCATTCTGAATTTGTTTTCTTTGGCCAATAAACAAGGATTTGAACCAAGGACCTAAACAACAGCGTGAGCAGTTGTAGCCTCTGCTAAAACAGGAATAAATACTTTGTAAATCACTTTTTTGCTGCAGGCCAGAGGCCTTGGGGACTGGCAGACGAGGGCAATGTGTGCTTCTAATTTCCATGGAAGTGATATTTTCAAGTTCAGTTTGCTGTTGATGTTTGCTCAATGGAAAAGAAATCAGCATTTAGCCAAAGCCTCTGTAAAAAGGTGTTTAAAATGTAGCTGCTCATCTGGGTAGAAAAAGCAGCTTACTTGCAGAAATAGAAAACAACTGTGAAATCCAAGACTATTAATATTTCAAAGTGTGCTGGTGACATAACAGATCATGCAAGTGAGGCTTGTATGGTTTGTGATATTACCAGGAATCCAGGAAGTATTTATAGCCTCCTTCACACTTGACTGTTATTTTATTGTATAGAGTACATGGGTCCAAATATAAATGAAAATTAGAGAAAGCTACAGAATCAGGAAAAAAAGAAATCTTCTCTTTTGCTTCCACCTCCTTCCAGCCTCAGTATCTCCTGCTTTCCACTGCCTCACTCAACTATCTGCCCTCCTCTACCCTGCCTCTGATTATTTTTTATACCTAGATTTATTGGTAGTTTCAAGTCCTTTGAATTTTTGTCCAATGTTTCCTAGTTTGAGGTGTAAAAATGCCTCTAATGCTACAGGGAATTTGTTTGCTCTGAAAACCAGTCAATAATTCCATGCTTCTATGGGGCTTATTTGGGTTGCCAAAATCATTCCTTCAGTGTCATAGTGTTTAAAAAACAGATTTGAGCCCTAAAATCCAAATTGGTCTAAGAAGCACTCATGGAATAGACTGAAGACTTTATTCCACTGTTGGACTTGTGCCTCTAAATAAATTGGACAGATTATAAAATCTTAGTCTTAGAAACCTCTGTATGTCATGCTTAGAAACAGAAATTACTGATTTTTTTTAAAACATCATTACTTTGGTGAAAGCAATTTCACATTATCCTTTTTCTGCTCTCTTTTTCTCTAATGAAACATAATTATTTAGTCCTGTCCCTAGTATTAGCTGGAAGAGGTCTGATGGAAACTCCTTGACAAAGAAAACTGAGCAGAACAAAACCAAAGGAGTTCTTGAAATCCCGGATGTTCAGCAAGAGGATGAAGGGTCTTATGAGTGCATTGCAGGAAACATCCGAGGGAGAAACACTGCAAGAGGTCAATTATTTGTCTATGGTAAGCAGATTGATTCATTTCTTCATTTATTTTCTTTTTTTTCTCATGGCATGATGGTGCTCAGGTGTATTTTGTAGATTGAGTCTATTAGTCCCTTACTGAAGACACAAAATGCAGTTGAGGTTAAGCTGGTTAAAAAATATGATTGGAGGTCTGCAGTGACCTTCACTGAATTACCTCCTCAGCAAATAAAGATATTTTGCATTAAAACTCAGATTGCAAACGTGGGCTGTGCCCTGATGAAGTCGTAAAAGGTTAATACCAGGCAGAAAGAAATCCCTGCTACATTTACATGAAACACGAAGGGCAGGCAACAAGATTTACTCTCACTAGCTCAAAGCTAGGTGGAGATCAGGGAAGGATTCATGAGGTGCTGGCTCATGGGAGTATAAGATTATTTCCCCTCCTATTCTAGCTGAACTGTATTGCTCCATAAACAGAGGAGGGCAGAGCAGGGGAACCTCATTCCTCCTTCTCTAAATAGAGAAGGATATTTCTGTGGGACTGTTCCCCCTTTGCTTTACTTTTCCCTTCTGGGGATCCAAGTCCCACATGATGCTCCCTCACAGCCAAGGTGAATTATATGCTCTTTAGTCCTATTTTTAATACCCATGGAAAGCAACTTATTTTGACATGAATGAGGAGGGAGAACTTTACCTCCTAAATCTTTCAAAAGAAAAGGAAAATAAAAATGTTAAAAGTGAGAAAAAAAGTTACAGCCTAGAACTAACAGCTGCTGAGAAGACCTCCACAAGTTAGGCTTTTTAAGTAAATCTCTAATGAGGAGATGCAGGCTTTGCTGATAAGCTCCCAGTCTCCTGCAGCCATGTGTTAACATCAAGATATATGCCAGGAAGAGTCTGCTGCTGGTTTTGAATATTTAATTTATTTATTTTTTTTTTCTTTTAGGGGGTTATTTTTGTTCTCATCGCCTGCTAATTTTTGCAGAACATCAATCAAGCAGTTCCATTAAAATTAAGTTCAGTAGATTACCTGGACATGATTGATAACAGCACAGGCAATTAAAAAAATTATGATCAGTTAATACAATCTAAAACAATGTGCTTATTAAATGTGCCTTGTAAATTAATTAATAGCTGTTCAGAGTGAAATGTATAAACAGGACTCATGAAGCTTGTGCACAGGGTTTTTTAATCATATTAGGAGTGGGCTGGTGTATTATCTGCATAATTGACTTCCTCTTGCTTCATTTCTGGGCTGTGGTGGTTTCACTCCTTTGGCAGCTTGACTCTGGGAAAGAGGATTTCTTTCCTGGACACTTTCTGCTGCTCTGTGTAGGATACCTGGATTCCATGCCTCAGACTCTGCCAGCAATCAAAATGACACTTAATTAGAATCATTTTTGAGCATGGTGAGCTATAGCCCAGATACTTTCTCATTTTGGGCAGCAGCTCATGGCATTGTATTAATCTAGCATTGGGCAATCTTGAGGCAGAGGCAGAGGGGCACTACCTAGTACCTCATTTGCACGTGGCTTTGGTCTATCCCAAAATGAGGTGGGTGTTCTAGGTCTGCTATCCCCCTATCTCTTGACTACTATTCTATCTATCCTCCTGCTTTAAGCTAATTCCTCCTCCACTTGCTCCTTGAGTGTTTAAGTTGGATGTTTACAGAGCTTGGAGGCAAATTTTGCTTTTATGCAGCAACGAACTCCTGTCCATGTGCCACAAGCACTCAGAAGGTGTTATTCTAATCTGAGAAGCCCTAATTATATTGTGTAGTATTTGCCTTAAAAAATTGCAAAGAACCCATGGTTTGAACCCATGATCTCAGGTATGTGAGTAAAACAAAGGGGTAATATTTACAATCCATTATTTTTATTAGCTACTGAGTAATGATTTTGAGATTTGTAGCTCTTGGTACACAGATCCAAGCACCTGGAGAGGAAGCCTTTCAGAAAGTAGAGATATCAGGTATTTCAGAGAGCACATGCAGAATTTCAGGCATCTAAAACCACTGCTTCTGCAAATTTTGGCTATAAAAATGAACACTATCAAAACTGAACTTCCTCCTCATGAGTCGCTTGGTTTTTAACATTTTTCCAAGCTAATCCTGAAGTTTAATGCCAGGGAAGTGTGCAGAATTCATTCACCCTATAAGAAGAAGATGTTGGACAAATACTAATTAGCCTTGCTCAGTTTGTGAATGAAAGGCAGCATACCTCCAGCAAAATCCCTTTTCTCCTGCTTAAAAGGCTTTGCATGTTCTTTTCAGCACTCCCTGAGTGGGAAAAAAAAATCCAAAATGCCTTTCTGTCTCTCTATGACAGTTTAGTTTGGGAATGTAAGGCAAAAGGAAAACCAAGCCCTTCCTACAGATGGTTAAAAAATGGCCAGCCTCTCACTCCAGAGGTAAGGTTCCTGTCCTCTCCTTTCCTTTCTCACTCCTGTTTTTGTTGTTATTGTGAGTTAGTTGTTAAATTCATTTCATTGGGTGTTGCATTTTATTATTTCAAAAATTTAATTAAAGGTTAACCTCTCAAAATCAATGTAACAGCAGAAACTTTGCAGCAGGAAATTGTTTGAGCTCCTCAATTCTTGGAGTTTATCTTATAGAAAACGTATGATATTGCCAGTTTATAGCCATAGACAGACCAATTTCTTCATACTTCTTTTACAGAGCATCTAATTGCCACAAAATATGGCAATAGGCGTGGATGGGTTTGAAAATATCCATCACTGTGAAAGAAGGGTCTGTCCAGACACACAAAACACATTTGTAGAGGTAATCTGTGATTTGGGAAGCTGGTAGGACACCAGCTGACTGTTGAAGAGCATTTCAAATCTAGCAAAATGATCATCCTGTTAACTTGCACTTTTCTTCTGGTTCTGTTCTTAATCTGTAGCCTGGATGGACCTTTGGTCTCATGTAGTGTGGTCATTCTTGTGCTGTGTTAATCCTTCAACTGAATTAATCAATCAGCTACGAAAATCAGTTAATATTTGGGTTAATACTTTTCTAGCACTAGGTGGAGGAAAAACAAACTAAGAAAACCATATAAATTTATAAGGAAAAGGTGAAAAAATGAAAAAAAAACTCACTTAAAGGAAAAAGAAAGACCAAGTAGAACAGGAAGAAGTGAAATTATGGAAGTGCAAAAGAAGAGGGGACATCAAGTTGAGCTCAAACATGTAAGAAACCAAATCAAATTCTTATACAGACAGGTCTTTGAGCCCTCAGCATTTTCTCTTTCCAGGCATTATAATTATGATTCTGTGGTGGCCAAGCTTTGGCACATTCATCTTCCCATCTCCAGTTGTTGGCAACCTCGTGGAGAATGGCTTCTGTGGCAAGAGACTCTTTGCTGTGTTCACATTCTCCTGGGGCCAAGTTTTCTGTTTTATTTAGCATCTCTTCAGCATCTATTGGGCATAAAATGGCATGGCTCCTCTGTAATGCCTTTTTACTTGTCTGGAAAAAAAAATAATACTGTGATTAATTTCTGTCTAACAGAGAACAGAATAATTTCCAAACAACAGATATAATAGATAATAAATGAAATAACAAAATACAGAATCATTTCCAAAACATATGGGGCAAAACAGCACCTGCTGGGTTGCAGAACCAGCATTTGTTTGATTTAGGAGTAGTTATCTCAAGCAATTGGAGGGGGGTCCAGTCTTCCATATGATTTTTTGCTGGATTATTCCTAAACAGAACCCAACTCTAGCATCTGAGTCGTCAAAATTTACTTGGATTGGCATTTTTTTCTCAACTTGATTATTCCACTCGTTGTCACCTCTTCTTAAGTAAGATTATCTAGTTTCTCTCACTTGGAAGACAGCAGAAGTTAGAATCTGTCATTCTTCAACGGCATCATTTTGATAAAATAAAAAAAAAAAGAATAAAACACTCTGCAGACACATTTTCAGCCAAGATTTTCACAGTGATGGAAAACTTGAGGCAACAACTGCTGAATGTTATTGCTCCATGGACAAAATGGATGGTTTAGAGGTGAAAGTACAAGGAAGGGGTAATAAAATATTCAGTCTGTCACAGCACCCTGCTTGTTGGAAATATCAGAGGAAGAATACCACCCAGATGCTTCCACCTGGGGGCTGTTTCTGAGGATATTGTCTCCTCTTTGTCAGACCTTTCTCCCTCACCACCTAGATGGCCATCCTCTTATTATTCCTGCTTGTGAACACGGCGTGCTTTATTCTCCTCTTTGTCTGCAGAGCTCAAAAGAGCCAGCAGAGAATTCAGCATGTGTAGGAAACACAAGTCTTGCTGCAGAAAGGGGTTTTACATGCAAAGGATGTTGGTAAAAATAGAATCCATCCAGAGGATAGCAAACAGCCTGAAGCTACAAGGAAGTATGCAAAAGATATCTGTAGTCAGAGCCTCAAAAAAAAAAAATTAACAGTGGGTAAGTAATGTAATGTTGTTAATTAGTTTGCAGCACACCAGCCATACAACCCCAAGCTGTGCTCTCATCCAATTTCCCAGCGAAACGAGGTTGGATTGGGTCAATTCTTCCTTGGGAGATCTCCAAGTAAAAAAAACCCAGAGTGTTGGAAAGCAGATCTCCACAGCTCGACAGGCAGCACTCCCCCCTCTGCAAGCACTGCTGGGGAAATGCCCCCAGCAGCCTGTGCCACGGGCTTTTCTGGGACAATTAGGTCACAGCAAGTCCAGTTAGATACGTTTAGCAGTTCACAGATCCATTTGGGATGCTCAGAACTCTCCAGCAAAGGCTGTGCTCCACCAGTGGATGCTCCCATTTCTGCTGCAGAGGCAGCAGGGCCAGACTAAAGGAGCAGCACAGTGATAATAACAGCAATATCTGTTGTGTCAGGCTTGCATTTAGTGATGGGGAATTCCTCTTCCCTGTTGTGGCTTCCTTCCAAACTGATCTGATGGGGGGAACATATTCTCATCTGCTTCTCAGTGTTGAAATTTGCAGTGGAGCTGTTATTGTCTCTGGAGGCTAGTAAAAGTAAAATCACAAAATATTTAGCTTTAAGTTATGCTTGTAGCAGGCTTATTTCTATTTGCCCAAGCAGATCAGAGAAAACTCCTTTTAATACACCAAAAGCCAAGCTCTGGTCCAAATATACCTGCTGTGAAGTTTCCTCTATTTTAGCAGCATTGCACCAAAGAAATTTGGTGTGTATAGAAATTGAAGCCACGAGGAGCAGCATCTCCCTGTGAGCTGAACAGGGATTTCAGGATGAATTCAGAAGTTTGGGCTTTCCAGCAGAGCTTTTTCAGTGCATCACTTCTCTGTGACTTGTGAGCTGATGGCATCTGAGATGTTTCCATTATCTGAGCACCTCTATCTCCTGCGGAGCTTTTCTGGTCACTTCAGATTATCATCATCAGATTCATCTAATCAGATGAGGAGAGTAGGTCGTGCTTCACTGTGCCCCCAAGCAGGGCTGCAGGTTCTGCTTCTTGAGAGCCTTCTGGAAGATGCTCCAGGCTCCTGGGGTGGGTGAAGCATCTCCTTGGACCTGCCCTGTGGTGGCTTCTTTTGCTTCTGCTTCACAGTGAAGCAGAGCCACAGATTCACAGCTCAACAATGCCAAGAAACACGTGCCACAGCTGGAACATCTGGGCACAGCTGCCCGAGGCAACCACTCTGCAAGAACTCTTGGAGTTCTGGAGAAATTTGAAGAGCTAAGAAGTCTGAAAACAAGCTTATAGCTGAGGTACACACATTTCTGATGTATTCATCCCCAGGATTGCCAAGAAAATAACATTTCTGCTACTGAATTACAAGCAGTGTGATACCAAGAAAAAACAACCTCTGGGATGGCAAACTCCTTGGCTCTGTCAGTGTTTTCTGCTTGTTTTTTTTCTTTTGTCAGGGAAGAATCCAAATAGAAAACGGAACCCTTATCATACCTGCTCTGAATATGTCAGATTCTGGCCTCTATCAGTGTGTGGCAGAAAACAAATACGAGGCAATTTATGCCAACGCTGAGCTGCGGGTGCTAGGTGAGTAAATGCCCCTAAAATGAGCAGGTATTGAGTGGAACAGGGGACTCACTGAAACAATTTGAAACGAAGAAATGAGTCCATTAAGTTCCACCTAGCAGTTCAAATCTGTTGATATTCCTTTGCTGCTTGCTCTTCGCCCACGTGTGAGTTTTATTTTATTCCACGTCTGGGTTTGGGGCAGAATTTAATCCCACGTGTGGTCTTTTTTTTATCACATAGACACATATTTAATGAATGCTGTTTCTCACTTTAGTTTGAGTTATTAATAGTTATTCTGCAGTTTTTCAAAGTCATTTTGGAAAGTGAGAAAATAGGTTTAATATAAACAGAAAGCATATGGCAAATATATATATATAAAAACAAATAACATGTAGCAAGTAAGTTCATTCATTATTACTATGGATGCAGATAAAATGGAATTGGGTCATAGATTATACAGAATATTCTGTTATAGATAACCAAATATAAAGTTTGTTCAAATACTAGTGAAACCAATAAAACACAGACTTTAAGAGCAACTACCTGTTGTACAGGTCTTGTGTTTGCTCCTTCTCCAAGAGTAAATTTTCACATAGATTACTGGAAAATGAAACACAATTTCAGAAAACAATGTTGGCTTGTGAAACAGAAAGCCACCAAAAAACTGTGCTTGCAAGTGAGTTATCTCTGCAGAGAAATCAGTGTGGCTGGGATCAGGAGTTGTGATGTTTATCCTGCTGACACAGCTCTGCTCAGGAACCTCGTTCTTCATCCCTGATAGACCTCCCAGTCTGCAGATAACCCCAAGGAAAGACTGTCAGAGCAGACAGCTTCTAGGTAGACAGCTTAGAATCAGCATAAATCAAGATAAATAATAAATAAGATGCAATGAATCCCATTCTTTGATACTTAAATACATTTTTTCATGTTTGATATATCTGTTTTTACAGAAAACTCAGAAGCAAAGCGATTATTGGAGCCACCTAAAAGAAAATTTAGCAAGTTCATTGGCTACCTTGTCAGCTGCATACTGCCCTGCTCTTCTTTCTTCTCTATTTCTAGCTGCAGCACCAGATTTTTCCAAAAATCCTGTGAAGAAACTCTCTGTTGTTCAAGTTGGAGGTGAAGTTACAATCGGTTGTAAACCATCCGCATCTCCCAGGGCTGTTATTACCTGGAGAAAGGGCTCTGAGGTTCTGCACCAGAACAAAAGGTACCCTCATAAACCAGTTGCTGGGTTATTGGGTGTTCTCTGTTTCAATAATATTCTAATATCACAGAAACACAGCTGGCTTAGTATTCATTTTGACAGCTCATCGATGGAGAACTTTGATGCCAGGGGTCTATTTGTCTTCAGCAGTGGCCGTAGAGCTCTGCAGATGTAAAGCTGGCTGAGAACAAAGCCAAGCTGAACACACAGGGGGAATTTGATGATACATATGTTTGTGTTCATCTGCAGTTCATTCACTGCAGAGCTATCAGAGCTGACTGTTTACCACACACAAAGCCCGAGTCAATCAGCTTCATGTAGGAGACATCACTGGAGGCTTCAGGGAAGGAGAATATACCCCCAGGCTGCTTCATAATTGCTTTGTAGTTGTACAGGTTGTACAATAACCTATAGCTAAATCAACCTCCATATTCTATGTCTCTTCTGTTTAGGCAGGATTTAGCCACTGGACCAGCATGCTGGTGCAATCCAGCACCAACCAGGATGGGGCTGCATGGTCCTTGGCAGGGCTCTACTGATCACCATTCCTGGAGGGGTTCAAAAAATGAGTAGATGTAGCACTTGAGGCTGTGGTCTAGTGGTTAGGGAGATGTTGGGAGGAAGGCTGGACTTGATCCTGGAGGATCCAACCCTATTGATTCCATGATGTTTTGTCTGTGATGGCCAATACTTTATTTCTGACTTGCCACAAACTATAAATTATTACGTGTTAACCTCAATTAAATGGTGAAGTATTAAAATCAAAAGCAATTTACTGACTTGAGTGAGTTGTGAACAGCACAAAATCTACAACCATGATGATATCTCCACACACAAGTGCAGACAGAGGGGTGAAATGGGCAGCAGTGGCTGAGAACTGGAATCTTTCTCAGCATCTCTTTCCGTTCCCAAATAGAACAGCAACACTTTTATCCCATTATCCTTTCCAAAGCCTGAAAACAGAACCAGTTAATTCATGGAAATTGAGCACCAGATTTTGCACACAGGACTGGTTGCTCAAGGTACTTAGTTTGGGGTCATGTAATACTTAATTATAATTCATTAAAAGAACATTATCAAACACTGTGACACAGAGAAATATTTCCCTACCCTATACTGCAGAAACGTTCAATACAGCTAAAAGTAAATTGGAGAAGTCTATGTGAAAGAAAGGCAAAAGCTGAGAAGCATTTTTAGCTTCTTTAGAAGCACATACATAGGTGCTTTCAATGACACTAAAATTTGGGTGAGCAATCCAAGCCACAGGGTGCAGAGAACTCCTCAATGACTTTCCCCCCCCCCTCTTTCACTAAGGGCAGTTTTATTCTCTGTTTAACTGCTCATTTGACAACAAAAAAAACGTTTTCTACCTAATGTTCAGTCAATTCTTTATTTACATGCTGATTGCATGGTCTCTTCAACCAAAAAAAGCCCTGTTCATGCCTATGAGAAGCAGCTTCTCCCTACAGTAGGTGGAAAAGAAGCTCAGAATGGAGTTTGCCACAGGTAATCTCTGGATTTTCTGACACTGATGAGAACAGGAGCAAGGAGAGCCCTGTTTCAAACTCACAATTTCAACACTCGACTTAAGCCTGGATCTTGAGGTTCTAGTACCCTGCTATTCCCCATCTGATTTGCTTCTTAAAAATATTTACACACTGCACACAGTGTTTACTTGTGCTTCTGGATTAATTTACGAACAATAATTAGAAGCAGGCTGTAATTTTGGAGCATCCCAGGAGGCCTTTTGCTGCTTAGCAGGAGTAAACAAAAGGAGGAGGATTTACACTGAGGCAAAGGGAGAGACTGTTTCAACTCTCTGTGTAAAACATCATTACCAGCCTGTCCACTGGTGCAGAGGAGAATTTATGAGGCTTTTTGATTATTAAATGACAAAAGAGCTAATGCCATGGTTTTAAAGAAGAGAAAATAAATTATCTATACAGTTGTTTGTTTGGTTTTTTTTTCCCAGAGATCTCTGTGGCAGAAAATAAAATAAGGATTTGTCTGGCTGCAGTTAAAGTACACAGCTAACTAAATTCTAAAATAACATAGATCTGTGGCTATTAAAAAAGAAATCAGCCTTTCCCTCTCTCTGTGATTAAGCACTCACATGTCATATACAGATTAACTATTTTAACTAAAGCTTTCTTTATTTCCACTCCTATTTTACTGTACAGCAACTAGAATCTCTATGGACTCCTTTACTACCTTTAAAAATATATAT